AAGGTTTTCGTGGATACTGGCTCCTTGTTAACACAAACATGGAGCTGGTTGAACAAACCTAGGGAAGTTAAAAACCACCTAACTCTAATATGTATGTAAAAGAAAATGTGGAGCCATGGACATGAGGAAGCATGTCACTGTGATTATCGTGGGAAAACCCAAGCTGGAAGCAGGTGCAATACTACATCGATTGAAGCGTCAAGAATGATTACCACTCAGTTTGTAGAGCTTTTCAATGGATCCATTCAGTGCAGCATCCTGGTATGTATTCCCAAATTAATCTGCAGCCTGAAAAATCAAAGAGATAGTAAGCAAAGTAATGAGGAAAGCACCCAAAATATTTCCACGACCTCTGCATATAAAAGTGGTAGGTACTGAGAAGACAAGAAAATCATCAGTGAGACACACTGGAGATGACATTTTTTCCTGTTGCAGAGTGATGTAATAAAGAATAATTTTAAGATGGCATGTTTTCTGCATAACTGGAAATGGAACCGTCAATAAAGACAACAACGCCTTTATGCTATCATTTGAGCACCTCTACAATCTCATTTCCTGAGATCAGTTCTGCAACGATTGTCCGCAAGAGAGCAGCATGTAGGTAATTAGTGCATGTAAATAGCGATGGGAAAGGTACCTGCATTGGCAACACATGTAGAATTGATAAGGTAACATGGTAAATGTTCTGGATTGTCGGCTACTGGTCACTGTAAAGCACTGGGAAGTGGCAGTTTGAGATGGGAGCAAGAGAAGGAATGATTTTACCTTCATTTGTGGTGGCCCAACTATCTGTGCAGGCTCTTCAGGTTAGGTTTGTGCATGGCAACACCGAAGAAAAGAACTGGAATACGCCATTAGACTATTTTCGTGCCACCTGTACAAAAACATAGATGGTTGAAGGGCTGGTGCATGAACAGATGACATTTTGGTATATATATATATATATATATATATATATACCAAATGCATGTTGGAAAGAAGGCACTATAAAATTTGGAAGAGATTACAACCCAATGATTTGTTGCCGGGGTGCATCGTGCACGAAGTCAATTATTTGTCTTGACTCTTTCATATTCACCTCGGCATTTTAGCAAACACCTAGAAGGCATCAATGTGTGGGAGTAAACACATCACGCAATAGATTTTTGTACATGGATGTATTAGACCTCTTGCTTTGTGAGGTGTCCATTGCAGGTAAATGGAACCCGTGGTGGCCGTAGCGAGAAGACCAGAGCATGAGGATTCATCAGAATCGAATCGATTTGAGCAGGGGTAAGGCAGGCGAAAATGAAGGAGGTCCGTACCCTGGGACATCTGGCGTGGCGGCGATGGGCGTGAAGTGGACAGCGACGGCGTGCTGGACCGGCGAGGCCAAACGAAGGAGGCGTTGGCTGGAGGCGGCAGGGGAGAGCGGCGCGGACGTGATGCGCCGCTAGGGTTTCGCCAGGCTGGGGAACACGTGCTGGCGCGGCGCAACGTCGGGCCGGCAGATCCGTGAAGAAGGGTGGAGCGCCGTCGCTGGTACAGGCGGAGCGCGTCATCAAGTGGAGGCGGACAGGGTGGAGCTGCAGCGTCGCGGCGTCCGCGGCGGCGTTGGTCGAAGCGGCGGCGGCGCGACGTCGGGGAGGGAGGAGGGGTCGCGGAGGGCGGTGGCGGCGCGCTGCCGGCGGCGGCGGCGCCGGAGGCAGCTGCGGCGTTCTGCGGGGTGGGAGCGACGGAGGTGGGAGGAGAAGTGCCGGGAAGCGTCGGGTCTGGGAGACGGGAAGTGGAGAGGATAAGGATGCCAAGGAACGGCCGGGATGGATCCGTAGGAAGGAACGGCCGGGATGGATTGACTGTAGATGGAACAGTGAATCTACAGAAGCCGACGGGAAGATCTAAAGATTTCATATGATGATATGATATATATGCTACGCTGTTCTCTACGACTTTTGTTGCATTGATCTAATCTTTATTAGGCGAAGGAGAGAACAACAATCCTTAAGAGCAAGCTCAATAAAACCTATCTATAAATCATGTAAAGTCATCAATAGATAAGTTTAGAGCTTATTCAATTGAATATGTACAACAGGATAGAATGACCTGTCGAAGCTCATGTACGTGGAAAAAAAAATATCGGCTTGTTCAACCAATAGATGGAATGAGCCACAAGCTTGTGTTTCTATCTCCTCAATCCGATCGACGAGGCTAATGTGTCGGTCGATACAACCCTTGTTGTACATGCCTTAAGAGATAAAATACCATTTAATGTTGAAACACTGTATAGAGAAGACGATGTAGAAACCTCAAACCTGTGTTTAGTACTTTTTTAAAATTGAGGGTTTGATCCCTGCTTATCTACTCACATAATGATATGAAAAGGTTGTAACTGATTTTTTTCCAAAAGGAAAGCATGCCTATATATTTCAAGCACCTGAAAATCTTCGCTAAAACAAGTATGAATTTGTTAGGAGAGAAGATTTTGTCTAGAGGGGAGGATAACAAGGTGGATAGAATAGCATTGGAGGTGGCAAGGTCAGCGTCGAAATAGAAAAAAAACCTGGGTCATTGTAATATGTTTCTCTCCAATAATTTATTGGCAAGGTTAATGTCGGGGCAGTGACCGGTGTCAGCGGGGGAGGCAATGGCGGGGGCGACCGGCGAGGGAGGCGCTGAGGATCAGGGGCACATATTGGGAGAGAGCCAGACACGGGAGGTGAGGCCCAATTTCACCCAATACCAATATAGAGCCTTCTCCCTCAGTACTGGGAGAAGCCACTTCTAATTGTAATCCAATGCCAAAGGTATGAGAGGTTGCAATTCTAACCTCAATTTCATGGATACCCAAACAACAAAATTCACGAGATGATTCCGATCCTCAATTTCAGACTCCAATATCTACATGTAAATGGTGTATAAGATATTATGGCCCGAGACCATAATGATCATGGAGTTCAGCCAGAAACGAATAATTTAAAGGCCACTTTGAAACATAGGAATTTTATAAAAATCTTTATATATATTTTATAGAGATCAGTTAATTTTCACATAAAAAATATACAAAATAGGGGAAAAATCTGCATTCTAAAGGTTGCTTGGGTGCAGCACATGATTTTGCTATTTTCAAGTTGTAATAACCACACTTGTGGACTTTTTTTTAATAAATTGCACGGCCGGTTCTTAAAGTATTGGACGGATTTTATCTGGGTCCCCAAACTACGAAATCGCACGTTTAGCTCACTAATGTATTTAAGTGATTTCATCCATGTCTAAAATAGACATGATGGAGGTTAGAAGCTGATGTCGTCCACGTGGACATTAGTTAGGCGAAAAACCACGACAACGTCCCCCATCGGCGGTGCCCCATGCCACCGCCGCTTGTTAGGCGATTCTTGCGGCAACAGGTGGCGAGAAGCAACCAAGAGCGGTGGCGAACCCGTGGTGGTCTCGGCTCCGTCGGAGGTGGACCAAGCGACACAGCCATGCGCACGATCGCCCGATCTTGCGTCTTTCGGCGTCGGCTTCGGCGCCCGGTAACGATCTGGCGCGAGGCTTGGCGCGTGCATCCATGGGCACGGCAGCGAGGAGAGAGAGGTGAAGGTGTGGCACGAGGCGAAGCGAGATCGCGTCTGTCGTGGCGCGCTTGTCGCGATGATCGCTCGAAGCGCAAGGGCGGCGTCGATGTCACGGCTCTCGACGCGGTTTCCTTTGGTTCACGCGCGCATGGTGCGAAGCGATGATGTGGCTCCATAGGTCGCCGTAGATTTCGTGTCCGCCGCATCCAATGACGCTTCTCACCACCGCGTGCGGTGGTCTTTGTAGTAACTTCTTCACCCGGCTCACGACGATGGTGGGGCGACCTTATCCGAGCCATTGGCGCCGAAAAACGAGTTTCGCCGTTCTTTAAATTTATGCGGCTGGAGAATCTCAACCCAATTCCTTCCATCAATAGCGGCCGTGGGAGTTACCTAAGCCGCCCACCCACATCGAGTCGGGTCGTGACATGTAGACGGCAATTTGGAGTTTCCTCCATGGCCAAATTCGTTTCCTGCCGAATCCCTAGCCGATTTGGGGTAAGTCTCGATCCTTGGAATTAGTTCAATTCCTTGCACGTCGGGTATCCCTTGACCTCCTTGTTACGATGTTCTCCTTAGTTTGGCGAAAACCTCATCGTCGGCGACATGGCGCTTGCCGTGTTAGTCTCGAACGCTATCATCTCGCCAATTCGCGCGTGTCCACCGCTCGGACTTCCTCCACCTCAACCGCCGCCTCGGTTATGTCCGGCCGTAAAGCCCTTTGTGCACACCCGCCGTTTTCGGTCGTCATAGCCCGTTCATCGGAACGGCCTCGCCACACCGATGACCGATCTTTGCCGCCATGGTCGCGCCCATGGCTAGCCATGCCACGGTGCGTGGAGTGTCACGTCGCCACCGCCAACGTGTCGTCCACGCGTAGCATAGATCGCCGCCACTATCTCACGGCCGGCAAACCCACCGCCGCCAAAGCAAAAGCCACCGGTTGAGCCGTCGCGTCGCATGACGATCGCTTCGCCACCTGCGTGCCACGGACCGTGGGGCACTCAGCTCAGAGGTTTCTGCGTAACTCATGTTCACGTGGACGACCACATCAGCTTCTAACCCCATCACGTCTATTTTAGACCTGGATGAGATCACTTAAACATATTAGAGAGCTAGACGTGCGATTTCATAATTTGATGACGTTGATGAATCTGCCCAATACTTTAAGTACCGGCCTTTGCAATTTATTTATTTTTTCCTTTTTTCTTGAGCTGACCACACTAGTGGAGTCGTTCGTGACTTGGCTGAACCCGCGGAGACAAACGGCCGTGCACCCACTGGCAAGGAAGCCCCACGCGCAGAGAATACGCGAGACACGACGCCACCGGCAGGCAGCAAGCACCAACCCGAGTCGGCGAGTCCCGACCCTACAAACGAACGAAGCGACGGACGAGGCGCGGGAACGGAGGGGAGCCGGGAGAGCCAGACTACCAACCCAGCGCCATGAGGGGCAGCGAGATGTTGACCGCCGCGGGGGGCGCCGGCACGGCCCCGTCCACGGCCACCTCGGGGGTGGCCGCGGCGGCGGACCTGGTTGCCGGAGCGGGGGGCTCGGGCGCTATCGGCGGGGGCGGCGGAGGCAACTTGCCCCTCGCCGTCGCCCTCCTTGCCTTCGCCTTCGCCAACTTCGTCAACCTCCTCTCCATCTGGTGCGTTCCCCCCTTCCCCCTCTCCTAGATCTAAATCTAACGCGCGGGGGCGATCGATACTTGGTCGTTGCTTCCGACGCGATTGCTCCCGTGTCCCCTGTCGGTCGCGTTCAGGCGGTGGTGGTGGTTGTTGCGATCAGGTTTGGGGTTTGGTTCGGGAAAGTTTAGTTTTTTTTCTATCTTCTCTCCTGCGGAAGGCTTGGATTGAGGGTTTCCTCTCGTGTGATGTGTTGTCGAAGCAAGGAATGAACTTTGCTTTTTTAGAGTTAAAGGGCAGAGCCCCGGCCATTGCATTTAGAACAAAGACCAACAGTTTACAGCATTCGGGTAACAACCCATAGTTCAGGTACCAGAAAAACTCAAAGGATGCAAACCAGCAAGGCACCACAACAGGCACACTCTTTACATCAACCACTCATGTCTCCTATTAAGGAAGCTAACCCACTTTCCTTGCTGAAGATCACTTACCTTAGGCATGTCATCGATCAGTAAGTTCTGAACTTCGGCTGGAGCACCAACAGACCAGTCCAGTGCCAGGTGAAACAGTCGTTCATCATCTCGGCCCTTCACTGTCGCCAGCCAATCGTCAGTAGTCTTGAGCTTAACATTTTCAACGCCATCAGCTTGGAGTGGTATTCTGATCTCTTTTCGGCAGGACAAAGGATAGCCCACCCTTGCAGCATCCCATAGATCATTACCAGTAAACACTGCTCGTTTTTTCATTGGGAATCCTGAAAACATAAGCTATTCCTTAGTTTCCAAAGCCCCCACAGGGCTGCAGCACAAAAAGCATTTTCCACAATGAATTTTTTATTGCTAAGCTACATCTGAGCTATAGAGAGGAAATCAAAACCTACATTCCTTCCCAAAATTTCAGAAACAGTGCACCAAAGACGTTTGGCAACTACACAATAAAAAAATAGATGAGCAACAGCAGACTCATTCTCCTTACAAAACAAGCAAGACATGTCATCAACTTTCCTGCAAGCACTAAGATTGTCCCTGGTTAAGACTTTGTTTTTCGACAATAGCCAGAGAAAGAGGTGTACCGGTGGATTTTTCAGATTCCACACTGCAGGCACATGAACAGGCATGATGCCCCTGAAATTGATAGAATGAACTTTGCTTTCACCAAGCTTAATTTCAAGCTGGAGATGAACTTTTACATTTGTTGGAATGATGTGGAGAAGACTACGCCATCTGTATGGATGGCAGTGACTCAGTTTGTTAGGAATTACTAATGTCATTATGTTCTTTTCTAAATTCAATTAAAAAGTATGACACTGAGGCAAGGCTGAGACATGTTGCACGAGAGTGGTACTTCCTGTTTCTTCCCACACACAGAGCATGGGGTTTGATTGCTTCTGCCTTGAAAGTCCAACTGTACTGTTTCCACATGCGAAATTGCAAACTGAATCCCCTAGATATGCTTTCAACAGTAAGTACATCTCAATGAGACTTTGTGGTATTAACGCAGGGCTGGTTAGATATAGCTGGTTGTTCGAGTTCTAGGTGGTGGTGGTTGCGACCGGGGTTGGGGTTTGGCCCGGGAAAGTTTGTTTGTTTGTTTTTTCTCGCTCTCCTCAAGGAAGAAGGCTTGGATTGAGGGTTTCCTCTCGTGTGATGTGTTGTGGAAGCAAGGAATGTACTTTACTTTCACGAAGCTTAATATCGAGCTGGTGATGAACGCTGACATTTGTTGTAAGGATGTAGAGAAGATTGCCATCTGTATAGCACGTCAGTAACCTCATGGGTTATGGCAGTAACTCTGATTTGTTAGGAATCACTCTTGTCTTTATGCGAGTATGACACTGGGGCAAGGCTGACACCTGACAGACATGTTGCACGCGAGTGGTACTTCCTGTTTCGCCACACAGCATGAGTTTTGATTGCACTACTGGCTTGAAAGTTCGATTGTACTGTTTCCACTTGGCAAATTGCAAACTTAACCCCTAGATATGTTTTTAACAGTAACTACTTCTAAACGAGACTATGCGGCATTAACGCTAGGCTGATTGGATATAGCTGGATGTTCAGAACTATTGAGATTTTAAGCTATTGAGTTTTTAAGCTAGAGAATTTTCAGCGCCGTTCAGTAATCTGTAATTTGTTCTTCCTAGACATTGCAGGTTAAAAGAGAAGAGGTGGGATGCAAGGAAATTTCTTACTTCAGCTGGAGTCATGTCATCTCTTTCTGCAACTGTGGGGAGCTTGGCCGTCGCTGTGGGTGGGTCAACAAGAAGGCAGATAGCTCTGCATTTGCCCTCGCATTGGTTTTTGCTGCCGTTGTATGTACTTAAAATCAATCAGGTCTCATGAATTTCTTTTTGTAAGCATGTGGGTGTTGCAACCTTTGAAGCATTCCTTTTCTGTAGATGTTGCCATCTAATTTCCTTCCTACACAGTAGTAGTTTTTATTTATCATCTATTGCTTATAAAAGTAGGGTTTTTAGTACAAATTCAACCAATAGTTGATCTATTAGCCTTGCTGGGCATGGGCATGTTCCTTTCTTTCTTTCCTATTTTTTAAATAATCAGAGATAATAATGTTGACATTGCTCCACATCCACTTTATTTATGATGAATATGGACATCCTTTATGGCAGTGGCTGACTTGCACTAGTGGCCAACATTCATTTTGTTTCAGTTGTACATTTCCATGCACTTTCATGCCAAAGCCGTTAGCATGTCAATTTGACAAAGTTCTTTATATTTGTGGATAAGAGCTTCTGCATTCTGGAACCATGCCAGCTGATGTCCGCTGGTGCCATCACTCACTCTGAAACCATGCCAGGATTTGCATTTTAAAGCAGTTTCTGCACTAATGACTAATATGTTTCCCCCTGGTTTACTTAAGTATTTTATCATTATTTAGGAAAAAGAGAATGTAAAAATAGCTAGGTTTTGTTGCAAGCATATTCACATGAGCCCTTTTCTATAGATAAATAAATGTTAGCTGCCTTTTTTTTTAAAAAAAATATGTCCTAAGCTTACATTTTCTTCATATAGGTAATGTATGATGCATCAGGAATTCGATGGCACACAGGTCGCCAAGCTGCGGTAAGCTTGTGATTTTCCATGGATAATGCAAGCATAAGGCACTGTTCTATTGCACAGTGTTGTCAGTTGAATGTCGCCACTTTATCTATTGGTGCCTGTCTTCTAATTAAGTCTAATAACTTTTGTTGCAGTTGTTGAATCAAATAGTCTGTGATTTCCCACCAGAACATCCAATCATTTCAACCTTTAGGCCACTACGGGAACCTCTTGGACACAGTCCACTTCAGGTAGCTCTACTACATACTCCTATCTTCTATTCATGGATGCAAGTGGTCCGCGATCCGTCTGCTTAAGAGTGGTTGTGGGTTCGAGTATAAACCCCCATTTGCATCCCTACATCTATTCCTTACATAGTTAATATGGTATTTGTTGAGTTCTCTTCTTGAAATGAAGCTTGGTGGTGGAATGATCCATCTTTGATTTGGTGCCCGTTTCTATTATAAATGTTGCATTGCAGGTCAAATGCGTCTCCTTAACTGTGCCTTGTATTCCAGAATCTAATCTGGAATATTTCATGCTAACCAAGAAAACAAATCTCTGGTTCTTGGCCCATGGCTAGTATTTTTAGGTGCATGTGTATCTTAATACAACTGTTGAATTGTCAGTTGCTGCATATCTAGGGGGTTAAGTTTCTGCATTTCTATTTTCTACCTGAGATTGTTTTCATTCTCTTTCTTTTGTCACTGCAGGTTTTTGCAGGAGCACTTGTTGGCTGTGCAGTCGCTTATTTCATTGGGAAATCTGTATAAGGAATAGCTAGGATTTGGCTTGTACACGAATTCTATTGACTTAATATATAAACCTTTTTGTCAAAAAATCTCTTGTACATCTTTGCCCATGAGAAATGTCTCATTGATCAACCGCTTCAATTTTTCTTTCTGTTTGCACTTCATGGTGAACTGCAGAGGGCATTATTTAGAAAATGGTTAGGATATTGCGTTTGCTGACACAGAAACCGTTTAGGTTATGCAGCACATCAGCAGTAATCTTTCACTTTAGCGGGCCTCTATTGCAAGTGGCTCAAAATCCATATTATAGTTTGGCTTTCCTGGGTCAAAAATGGAGAGCTCGAGAGGATGTCTTAGGCTCAGCTAAATTCTAACGTGAAACGAGCAACACACAAGCTGAAAAAGAGAGAAGTTTTGATACATTCAGCGGTTGCCTCCTGATGATTATCAAAGTCAAATACAGCAGCAGAACAATGTCACTCGAACTGAGTGTCAAGATGATGACACCAGATGATCGACGAGCTTCATCTCACTTGCGCTGCTGCTGCTGATGCAAACGCATGCAGCAACAGACTGCCACCCTTGTGCATCCAGCCGCATCCCCCTCTGCCCCATCTGCTCCAAGACGAAGCAGGCCTCCTCGGCCTTGCCGTCCTCGCCGAGCCCCCACACCAGGCGCCTGAACGTGGGAGCCAGAGGGCAATGGCCGCTCGCCAGCATCGCGTTGAAAACCCGCAGACCCAGGTCGAAGTCGCGCGCTTCGCAGCACCCGTCGAGGAGGACGCGGTAGGTGGCAGCGCTCGGCACGGTGCCATCCTTGAGCTGCATCTCGACCAGCGCCCTATGTGCCTCGTCGACCCTGCCGGCGTCGCAGAGGCACCTGATCAGGACGTTGTAGCTCGCGTCGTCAGGCGTCAGCTTCCGCTTGCGCATGTCGGAGATCAGCCCCCTAACGCCGCCGGCATCCCCGCACGCCGCGCGTGCGTTAATCAACACGCCGTAGTTCGTCACGTCGGGCTGGCAGTCTCGGTACTCCATGTCGAACAAGAGCTTCTTGGCGTCGTCATACCGCCCTGCATCACAGAGCCCCTGCATTAACAGGGCGTACGTCACGGCGTTCGGTGCCACACCCCGGCGCGCCATCTCGTCCACGAGCCGCTCCGCCGCGGCCAGTTCCCCTTCCCGGCACGCCGACCCCACCAGCGTATTGAACGTCACCACCGTGGGGCGAACGCCGCGGGCGAGCATTTCGTCGACCACCACGCGTGCGCCCGAGAACCCGTCCCGGTGACAAACGCCCTTGAGGATGATGTTGTAGGACACGGCGTTGGTCCGGACGCCGAGCTTAGGGGCCTCCGGGAGCATGTCCCGCGCGGCGTCCACACGGCAGTTGCAGACGAGGGAGTGGAGGAGGGCGTGGAACGTGGCGTTGGAGTGGGAGCAGAAGGCCGGGACGGCGCGGAAGACGAGGAGCGCGGCGTCGGGCCGGGAGGCGGCGCCGAGGTGGTCGATGAGGGCGGCGAACGCCGTGGGCTGCAGCGGGACGCGGAGGGAGCGGAGCGCGGTGAGGAGCGGTGGGATGAGCGGGAAGAGCCGCGCGCGCGCGAGGCGGTACAGCACGCACGCCGCGAAAGGGTGGTCGTGGAGGTGGCGCGGCGCGGAGAGGAGCGAGGCCGCGGCGGCCACGGGCGAAGGAAGGGACTTGAGGCGGAGGAGGAAAGGGTGCGGCTCCGGCGGGGGCTTTGGCCTGTAGGGAAACTTCTTCGGGCTGCGGCGGCGGCGCTGTACCGTGGCGGTGGCCGGCATCGGGCAGCCTCACAGGTGGTGGCGGGAGCCCAGATGCCGTTTGCCCGTTTCCATGCTCATAAGGTGAAAGCATTAGTGGGCCTGGGCTAACGAAAAGCATAAGCTAGCAGCCTATCAATTAGCCCATTACCATCGGCGGCCCAACAACCCCTCGGCCGGTCGTCCCCGCCCGCGGGTCCCACTCCCGACTCCGACCAGCGGCGATCCTCGCGTCCGGCGCTTGCTGCAAGGCTCTTCCCTTCCCTTCGGGCCTGCCTATACCGCGGATCCGGCATGGCCGCGCCGTACACCTCCTCGTCTCCTCCCGCGCGCGCGGAGTACGCTACCTGCGGTATGGCCTTAAGACTTTAGCCCTTCTGAAGTTCTTATCGCATTCCTGTGATTTCCACCGCTGAGGTCGTATGCGCGGAGCCAGGTCGAATCAAAATGAACGGCGCTGAATTTTTTTTTTTGCTGGACTGATTTGATGATTAATGAGCTTCAGCGGTTCGGTATTTGATAGCCTAGTAGTACGAATTACCGCCTGGCTAGGGGCTACCATTTCCGGGTTTCGCCAGAAGTAATGCAAACGGGCCGTCAAACAGAGATTGAGTTACTGTTGATGGTAATTGTTCTCATTGCAGATTGCACTATGGCGTTTGACAGTATGATTCGTCCCACATGAGGCGACAACCATTCCTCTTCGTGATTTCACAGGCATGCCACTGTTCTAAATCTTTTGTTTTTGCTAGTTCGCATTTGTAGGTATAGCTTCTTGAACTTAAATGCTTTTCAAGGTAAATGCAATGCAAGTGATCCATATGGTTGTTTATACTTGTTTGGTTAACAAGTGTTCTAGATAGTATTGATCATTGTAGTACTCAACACTTAGCTCTTTGATAACTTAAATACAGGATTGGGAACACTGTGCAAAACTGCAATGGGTACCCTACCCTACCCTACCCTACCCCTAGCAAACTTATAGGTGGTAACCAAAAATTCTTTCATAAACTGTTAAATCTTGACAAGAGAATTGCCATCAATTGCTTAGCTCAGAACTGTATACTCCCTCCGTACTAAAAAATAAAGTCGTTTTGGACAAGGCTTGGGTCAAATATTGGGAATATAAATCATGAATAACTTTTAAGTTGTTGAGTTTGGAAATGTGAAAGCCATATAAATAGATTTGTCTTGAAAAATACTTTCATAAAAATATACATATATCACTTTTTGATAAATATTTTTATAAAAACAAGGAGTCAAAGTAATACTTTGGAGACCGTGTCGCTGTCCAAAACGACTTTATTTTTGAGTATGGAGGGAGTATTATATTACATGGTGCGAAGTTCCACAAGTGAAGCATAGGCTCCACCAGCAATGCCCATCAGCGTCTCATGTCTTCCTTTTTCCACAATTGTGCCATCCTTTAGGACTGCAATCATATCAGCTCCTTGGATTGTTGAGAGGCGGTGTGCCACAATGACAGTTGTCCTGCCAACCATAGCACGATTTAATGCATCCTGCACGATGCTCTCTGATTCAGCATCTAATGCGCTTGTTGCCTCGTCCAGAAGAAGTATCCTTGGGTCCTTCAAGATTGCCCTCGCGATAGCTATTCGCTGTTTTTGGCCACCTGACAGTTGTGTTCCTCTCTCTCCAACAGTTGTATTGTACCCCTGTGGCATGCTTGAGATGAATTCATGGGCATTGGCTGCTCTAGCTGCTGCGGCAATCTCTTCTTCTGTTACCTCTTCATGCTTTCCGTGAGCTATATTGTCACGGATTGTTCCACTGAAAAGCACTGGTTCTTGGCTTACCAATCCCATCTGGTCCCTCAACCAGCTGACCTTTAGGCTACTAATTTCCACTCTATCTAATAAAATCGCACCATTGTCAGGTTCATAGAAGCGCTCTAACAAAGATATGACTGTGGACTTTCCACTACCACTTTGACCAACAAGTGCAACTGTCTGCAATAAAAGGGTTCTGTGTAAGACCTCAGAAAAATGATGGCATAAAAAATTAAGTCCTCATAACAACTGAGAGAAGATTGACAAATTAGATTTCTGGTATAGTTTTGACCTTTCCAGAGGGAATGGTTAAGGTGAAGTCAGTGAAAATTTGAACATCGGGACGGGATGGGTATTTGAAGCTGACATGCTTAAAATCAATGTCACCCTTGACATTCTCCAAGGTGGAACCTTCTTCACTGCTGGAATCAATTAAGGATTTTCTATCTAATATTGAGAATATGGAAATAGCAGAATCATTTGCCTTGGCTGAGTCTGAAGCCATAGCACTTGTTTGTGATGCTCCAATCATGGCCATAACTAAAGCAAAATAAGCCTGCATTCCAACAAAACATACATAGCAAATAATATATTCACCAAAAAGGTAAAAAATACAATGATTATTACTTACCTTGAAGACATCACCAAAAGTGGATTTGCCCTGACTAACAAACTTTGCACCAACATAGTAACAAAGAGCGGCACTGGCGTATAGCATCATATATGAGAAAGCAAAACCAAGGCCTCCAACTATTCCAGTTCGAATTCCCTGATCCCTAGAAGCTTGGCATCTCTGATTGTATTTGTCCATCACTCTCTTCTCGGCACAAAATGATGCTACTGTTCTGATGCTACCAACTGCTTCAGTTGCAACTTGACTTGCTTCCTCATACATTATCTACAAGCACATACCAGATGCGATAGTAAAAATCAGAGAAGGGAAGAAAAATACCATAAGTGTCATCCACATGACCACATCCAATAGAAAAACTAAGCATTATTGACAACATTTAATTCAGTGATTACTGTTAATTATGATTACTTGTCTTCCTTTTGCCAGCATGAAGGATCTATCAAATCTAAGTTTCAGCTTGTGGAAATAATAATTTATGGTTTATTGGGAACAACATAACAGTATAACATTTCATGATTGGCATATTTGTAGCTGGAAGGATGGAACATGAGAAGGAAAGTCTAGAAGTCTAATTTATAGCTCACCTTAGCATCTTGACTGAACCCCTGTAGGAATTTCACTTGAGCATAACCTTGGAGACCCACTAAAGGAATTACGAATAAGATTACCAATGAAAGCTTCCAGTCCGCGACCATTGCAATCACTATTCCACAAATAAGTGTTGCAGTACTTTGGACCAGTAAGGCCAAGTTATCTCCCACTAGACGTCTTACATTAAGTGCATCAATACATAGCCTTCCATTAAGCGCCCCACTGTTAATAATGCAAATGACCGTCAGTATATTGATTGTTTGGTCCCGTGAATAGATTAAAATATACATTACTTACCTGGAATTTTCAGGATAGTCAAACCAAGCAACTTCTTGGTGCACTATGCTTTGGAATGTCAAAGCGCGGATTCGTTCTATAAGCTTCCCACCAGCTATTGCAAAAAGAAAGCTATTTACTATCTTTGATATCATAGCAGTTGCACCGAGGCCAACACACAGCAATGCCCAAAGGATAGAATCTTTGCGCTGCTGGTCTGGTGATTCGTAAAATATTTTGGAAGCACTAGCCATTGCTAAACCAAGTGTTGGAAAGACAGCTCCGTCAATTGCTGCTGCAATAGACCCAAACAGAAGAACTGCAGCCTCTGGTTTGTTTAGGTTAATTAGGCGTCCCATTGGTGCTTTATTTGGTACCTTGTCATCAATGTTTTCAATTTGTCTGGCACCTTGTCCAAAGTTATACTCCAGTATCTCAGTGGGCCCAGGGCGCGCCTAAGGGAGGCTTAAAGAATGACGGCTGCTCCCTGCTGAACTTCTACTTATTGATCGTCTGAGTGACACACTCCTTTTAGATGCTGAGCCTGATAATCTAGCATCTGACATGCGGCCATTTTCTTGTTGTTTCTCTTGCAGCCGTATAAGCTGAGAGTATGCTCCATTAGGATCCTTTACTAATTCATCATGATGTCCTGCATTTATAGGTATAAATGAATAATCTTTCTCTGAACCTTTTTGCACAAAAGGAAGCTAAAGAATGTGCTCAAGAGGCAATTACCTTGTTCTACTAGTTTTCCTTTAGAAACAACTGAGATGCAGTGAGCATTTCTTACAGTGCTCAAACGGTGCGCCACAACAAGTGTGGTTCTCCCCACCATGATCCTATTTAATGCATCTTGGACTATCCTTTCAGACTCCAAATCCAATGCGCTAGTTGCTTCATCAAGCAAAAAGAATTTTTGGGTTTTAAGGATGGCTCTCATGATCGCAATCCTCTGCTTCTGTCCCCCAGAAAGCTGTGCACCCCGTTGTCCAACTGTTGTGTCATAACCCTGAAATCATATAAATACATGATCAGTCTTATAGTTTTATACATGACCATGAATTATTATTGTGCAGATCATGTTCATGTAAGTACATCAGGCAAGTTCTCAATGAATCTTGCTGCATTTGCGAGCTCAGCTGCTGTCTTGATTTCTTCAAGGGTTGCATCCTCTTTTCCATAGGTAATATTCTCCCTGATGGACGTCATAAAAAGCAGTGGTTCCTGGTTAACAAGTCCAATCTTCCCCCTTATCCATTCTAGCTTGAAACCTTTGATGTTCATCCCATCAATTAAAACTTCTCCAGCTTGTGGATCATAAAATCTCTCAACCAGATTGATCACAGTTGACTTCCCACTCCCACTCTCCCCGACTATGGCCATTGTTGTGCCACTTGATGCATGCACTGAAAATCCATTAAATATCAGTTGATCTGGCCTGCTTGGGTAGCTGAAGAACACATCCTTCAGTTCTACTTCACCCTTGATGTCCTCTAACACAATGCCAGTGCTATCCCCATAGTCAATTTCAGGTCTCCTCTTGATTGTTTTGAACAATCTGTAAGCCACAACTCTTCCTTCCTCAAAGGAAGCTATGCAGGGGGTTGCATCACCTAAATTTCTGTCCCAAACAGTTAAAAAAATTCATGTTAGCAGACAGATGTGATCTATTTTGTTGTGATAAAGTACTAGAACATGGATCAAAAGCAGATACCGTTACTATAAACTTCTTACGGGTAAAATGCTAGAACAAGGCACGCTATTTGTTGAATTTTACTATTAGAGAAGGACATTTTCAGCATCAGTGCTCACCTTGCACCTATCATGATTGCAAACATTACATTTAGGATATCTCCTCCGCTATATCCTTTAGTGAGGCTTAACTTGCTGCCATACCATATAAGCAGTCCAAAGGCGGAAAAATATATTAATGAAAGTAAACCCATTCCAAAGCCTTGGACAGCCCCTTCCTTGACTGCGCTTTTGTATGCCTTCTTTATGAAATTGTTGTACAGGGTAATGGCTTTCTTTTCACCATTGAAGGAAGCCACCTGTTATTTACTATGATTACAAGTCAGTCACAAACTTATTATCTGTTGCATGATCAAGATAGCATAGGGCCTACCGTTCTTATGGAGCCAATTGTTTGTTCAACAATATCACCTGCATCACTGTATGACGCTAGGCCCTCGCTAGATATTTTGGATAGCATCTTTGCGACAATTCCAGCAGCAACAACAAATGGTGGTATAGTAGAAAGCATAACAAGAGTTAGAAGCCACCCTTTGATGAACGCCAGCACAAACCCGCCGAAGAAAGTTGCAATAAGCTGTACAAACTTGTCGACCTAAAGACCGAAAAATCAAGAATGTGCGAGTGTAAAAAAAAAAACTAAATTAAACTGCAACATACTGCAAAGTGCATGCTCAATTATAATAGGAAGGTTAGTTGGAGCATCACTGAGGTAGCAGCTGATCAGTTTATTTGTTCTTTTGTATCAGATATAAATCATTGAAGAAGATGCAAGGTTTATGTGCTTACCTTTTCACCTATAGCACCCTGAATTAAGGTCATGTCGGCAGATATGCTGGAGACTACTTGTCCAGTAGTCATTTCTACATCAAAGAATGTCATATCCTGTCTGAGGACCGACTTGAGATACAATGATCGAATACGAGTAGCCTGCCTCTCCCCAGTCATTGTCCAGCATGATATCTCTGGTAAGCATTGGTGTTATGGTCATGTATTTGCATTTGAGCATTATTTAAGATACTAAGAATGATTCAGCGGCATTCCAATTCTTAAAGACCCACAGAAGTACTACCTGGCGATCTGATACTCAGATTTCTATTCATAGGTATTATACTATCACGAAAATATTGCTCAGATATGATTCCAAGCTCAAAAGTTGCCCATATTATATATGTTATAGATGGCCAAATAGGATAGTGTGGCATGTTCACACCACTTGGTTGGGAGAGAAGTATCCTTTTCAGCTTTTAACGAATCATCTTCTGGAGACTGACAACCATTTATCCACTTAAAATTGTGCATAACAGTTATACTTACGAATGAAAGAAGTGAACCCCGTTCCAATGGCCAAGTAAATGAAGTTCAGAGCTGCCTGAAAGAAAATGCTAGCCATATCAATTGTACATGCAATAACTAGCCAGGAAGATCACAAAACAAGTATTCTTCTGTATAACATACTGCAGCTGAACTATAATTATCATCACGTTTTTTTATGCGTAAACAATTATTGTTACTTACACAGAAAATTGAGGACATGAAGGTGCACGGATATCAAATTTGTCATCTATTTTACAAGTAATCAATGGCTAATCCTCTATATAATAAGAGTCGCAGACTATGGCTAGCAGAGGGCCGTTACAGCCATACCTTGTTGACTCGGGAACAATGGTGTCTGGGGTGGCACCCCCAAAGGCATCAATCATCTGCCCAAGATGATTGTCATGATCACCATCGACATGCCATTGCCCAGCGCCCCAACCATGCCGACCAGCATCAGCAGAACGTCCGTTCTGTCAGCGATAAAACATGCTGTGGAACGGAACTTTAGCCATTGCCACCATCTTCTCGCCATTCTCCTCCTTTTCCTCGCCATTCACTACATCACCAGCGGAATCTTTGGGGACGCTTTTTTCTGCCATTTCGTGCCTGCCCAGTACCGGGTTCTCCCTGCTGCATATGGCTTTTTTGTAGTGCCGTTTTCTAGGTTTTCTATAGGCAACTTACTTTGCTGTTAACTGCATTCATAAGAACGATAATGATGCAGACAAGCGTCCAAACTGACAGAGGAGCTGAGTCCACTATGGAGCATTCGGATGTACCGTAGTTGCTTGTAAGCATCTGTATAATGTCGTCAGCTGTTATCTTAGCTTCAGTCAGCATTTGTGTTAAATCTGTTAGATTAGTTATGCTTAATACTAATCATGAAGATATAAACTGTCCATGCCCGAATCATGGTGATGATTAACTAAGATACGAGGTCTTCTGACAGAAAGCAACCACTTGTATTTAGCAGGTGTTTGCATCATAAGGTGACTAGGACATTTGGCTGAGTTTGCTCGGATTCGACCGGATGAGTTCGACGGCATGACCTGGTCGTGCAGCTTTGCTGTCTGTTGCGATGATATATCTGTACTTGGTCTGTGACCCAGCGTAGTTTCTGTTTTAGAAGGAACCACGGCAGCCAAAGTGCCGGCCTGAACTTTGTTTAAACGAATGCATAGGCATTTGCATAATTCATACAAGGATTTGCTAGATCATGCCTTAGGCCACGTTCGTTTCACCAGGAATGAGCCCTGGGAAGAAATCCTGGCCGGATTGTTACTTTAATTTATGTAAGCTTTCACTACCGGATCGATTCCTGGCCTCCTAAAGCCGTAACCGAACGAGCCCTTAATGGGTTTGTGTACGAGTCTTCTTATACTCATTTTTTTTTCTCAATATACTGATACATTCATACGCAGATGTCACATTGTCACGTGTATTCGAGGGGGGAAAAGACATTCTTCAACTTTTCAGTCCACTGGTAGCCCGGTGAGCCCAAAGCCTGACCGCCTGACATCAGTAATGGTGTTGGAGTGTTGCCAAGGATGCGTGGGCACATACACCTCCTGATTGCTGAAACTCTTCAGCATGGCGCCCCTTCCAAATGTCGCAGGCTCGCAGAGCAAGCAAATGATGGTGGTGGATTCAACTCTTTCCGAAAGTCCAGCGACCAGACTTAAGGACCTGAGGCTCTCGACTGCATCGTCCGGTGGGCTGAAGCCTGAGGAGAAAGCAGCTGCCAAACCTGGTTCATCCGAGCCGAGGGTTCTTGGTCTTCATCGCCACAACAACTGTCATGCCATCTTCTGGTGAAGTTTCTGTGAGCAAGGAGGGTTCTAGTTGGGACATTACCACTTTACCAGACAATAGAAACTGTACTAGCAATGAATGTTTGAGTACGTAAATGACACAGAGGCTGTAATGAAATTTCTGTTACCAGAAAAGTTCATCACATGGCGCGTCTAAGTTCATCACCCAGTCTGCTGGTGCCTGCTGCCATGACTGCGACCTTGCAGACTGCAGGACGAACCAGGTGCAAAATGGCAAGATTGCTTGACCGCAGGATCCTGGTTGAGGCGCCATGGGTATCAACCAGCTCGATCGCCTTCCGTTTGTCCGTTTGGCGGGCCAAGTGAGCAACGTCCTGCTGTCTGCTGACACATGTCAGAACCTGAGCGCTTCCCCAACGCAAGGACGTGTGGTGTACTGCCTCAAAGGCTCAAACTCCAGGTTGGCGCCTAGCATCCATATCAAACCAACAGATAGCCTCGCCGATCGAGCGCATAGTGACCCGCAGCAGTGATCTTGTCTGCTGAAGGTACCACCAGAGCAAGCGTTGGCTGAGAGAGGATTAGAGGAACTACACTAGATGTGTGCTCCGGGGGCAACGTCTGATCAAGGGCAGGCATCTCTAATTTTTTGGTGAAACTACTAGAAAACATTAGCCTCCCTTGAGTTGGCATCAAATGGTGTCCGACACAATACAGTTTGTTCGGTAAAAGAGGAAGATACAAATGGTGTCTGACACGTGAGCCCAGGCATCGGAGGGAAGGTCATGCTGACGAGGAGACACCGGCGCGCTCGGACCTCATGCGGAGCTCCACGAGCGACGCGTACACGCCGTCCCTGGCCGCCATCAGCTGCTGGTGCGTGCCCTGGGCGACGACCTCGCCGTTCCCCAGCACGGCGATCACGTCGGCGTCCCTGATCGTCGACAGCCGGTGCGCCACCACGACCGTCGTCCTGCCGGCCGCGGCCCGGTCCAGCGCCTCCTGGACGGCGCGCTCCGACTCGGCGTCCAGCGCGCTCGTCGCCTCGTCCAGGAGCAGGATCCTCGGGTCCCTCAGCACGGCCCTCGCGATGGCCACCCGCTGCTTCTGCCCGCCGGACAGCTGGGCGCCCCTCTCGCCGGCCACGGTGCCGTAGCCCTGCGGCAGCGCCGAAATGAACCGGTGCGCGTTCGCGGCCTTCGCGGCGGCGGTGATCTCTTCTTCCGTCGCCTCGCCTTCTTTCCCGTAGGCTATGTTCGCGCGAATGGTGTCGTTGAACAGGATCGGCTCTTGGCTCACCAGCCCCATCTGCCGCCGCAGCCAGCCCACCTTGAGGTCCTTGATGCCCACACCGTCCAATGTGATCGTGCCAGAATCAGGGTCATAAAATCTCTCCAGGAGAGCGATGATGGTGGATTTGCCGCAGCCGCTCTCGCCGACGAGGGCAACCGTCTGTCGAGAGAGCATCAAAGTTAACTGCCTGCTGATAACTGGTAGTAGTGGTGCTGATTGCAGTAAAATTAAAGGAAGGAAAATGTTGAGTGGTTTCGTACCTTCCCGGATGGTATTCTCAAGTTGAGATCTCTGAATATTTGAATATCAGGTCGGGATGGATATGAGAAACCGATCTGGCGGAGCTCAAGTTCACCAGCGACGTCAACCAAGACCATGCCGTCATCACTGCTAGGATCGATCTTTGATTTACTATCAATGAGTGCAAATATAGTCGATGTTGATGCTTTGGCCTTGGCATAATCTGAACCTAACACACTTCTCTGTGAAACGCCTGCGGTTGCCAAGAGCAGAGCAAAGAACACCTGCAGAAGAATACAGCAGTTTGCTATGCATAATGCGAGCGAACTTGAAGCTTAGTAATCTGAACAGTTTGCTTACTCTGAATACTTCAGTGAACGTGGCCTTGCCATCAAGAATAAACTTCGCTCCAATGTAGAAACAAAGGGCATATGTAGAATACATTAGGAAGAATGATACACCAAAGGCCAAGCCACTGACAATGCCTTGACGGGTCCCCTGCTGCACTGGAGCTTTGCATTTTCCATAGTAAGTCTTCATTACCTTAGGCTCCGCACAGAAAGAAGCAATAGTTCGAATACCACTGACATCATCATTTGCCACTTGAGTTGCTTCTTCATACATTGCCTGCAGTCCACCATTTAGGGAAAAAGAATAACTAAGTTCAATTAGCCAAATGACATTATTCTTTTTTTTTACCAGAGATGCATGGCATTCAGCATGCTACCTTGGCATCTGCACTGAATCCCTCCAAGAACTTTATTTGGAGGAATCCCTGGAGACCCCCCCAAGGAAGCACTACCGTGGCAACGAGGGCAAGCCTCCAATTTGCAACCATTGCACGGACAAATCCTGCAATAACTGTAACAGTGCTTCGAACCATCAATGCCAATGAATCGCCTACAAGACGTCGTATATTTGAAGCATCGACAGACAGCCTTGCACCAACATTTCCACTGGACATAGAAATTAATGACATAAAAAATATGAAATGCAGTTGTCATCAGAAATCTGGTGAATAGCAGAATATTTGGAGGCTGACCTAGCATTTGAAGGCCTATCAAACCAGCTGATTTCTTGACAAACAATGTTTTGAAAAGATAACGAGCGAATGCGTTCAACCAATTTTCCACCAGCTACTCCAAAAAGGAAATTCTCCACTGGTAGGATAATAAACGAAGCAACTCCTGATGCTACATACATCAATGTCCAGAACCGTGAATCTTTCTGGAGTTGATGAGGAGGCTCATAAAATGAATTGATGGAACTGGACATCAGCAAACCTAACACTGGAAACATAACACCTGATATGACTGCAGCCACTGTACCTAACAGAAGGACTGGCATCTCAGGTTTATTCAGAGAAATAAGACGAGAGAGGGCAACCTTCCTGCATTCTTCACCTTCATCCGATACTTTAGGCAGTGGTTCAGTATCTGTGCTCTCCAGGACAATCATGTTGGCACTAGTGATCAAGTGCACGCTGGTACTCCCTAATGAAGCGCCACCAGTTATTGACCTCTTGAGAGATGGAGCATGCTTAGATTTGTTCAAGGACTCGACATTTCTGACAGCTGAAGTAGACCTTTGATAATCTACATCAGATGCATCTGGTTCTCCAATTATATCCTGCAGCTGGATAAGCTGGGAATATGCACCATTGGGGTCCTGAAGTAGTTCAGTGTGTGTGCCTGTTTAACATTTAAAGGTGACAAGATCAAACTCCAGAATCATCAGATAAACATAATGAAAGCATGCAAGGTTCAGACCTAGTTCAACTACTTTTCCGCGATGTATGACTGATATAGTGTCAGCATCTTTTATAGTGCTCAATCGATGGGCAACTATGATCGTGGTCTTGCCTTGCATAATTCTGTTAAGGGCCTCCTGAACCACTCTCTCAGACTCCATATCTAGTGCACTTGTTGCTTCATCAAGCAGCAAGATTTTGGGATTTTTCAGTATTGCCCTTGTGATTGCAATTCTTTGTTTCTGCCCTCCAGACAATTGTGCTCCATGCTCACCAACCATTGTGTCTAGGCCCTGAAATAACAAAGTTCACGATTAATTGCGGTTAGTTATAGTATAGATGAAATTTTGCACAAGTATAAAACAATTTAGTTTAATCTACATACATTAGGTAACTTATCAATGAAATTTGCTGCATTAGCAAGCTTTGTCGCAGCCATTATCTCCTGGTCTGTTGCATCTTCTTTCCCATAGACAATGTTCTCCCGAATACTAGTGGCAAACAACAGTGGTTCTTGACTAACAAGACCGATATTTTCCCTTAGCCATCCAAGCCTCAGGCTTTTTATGTTAACACCATCTATTGAAACTTCACCAGCCTGAGGGTCATAGAATCTCTCCACAAGATTAATCACTGTCGACTTCCCACTACCACTCTGTCCCACTATAGCCATTGTTTTTCCACTTAATACATGCAACGAGAAGCCATCAAATATCAATTGATCACGTCTAGATGGGTACGAAAAGTATACATCCCTTAGCTCTATATCACCCTTCATGTTTGCTAGCACGATCCCATCTGTTCCATTAGAATCAATTTGTGGCTTCCTTTGGATTATCTGCATCATTCTGTGCCCAGCAGCCCGGCCAGAAGCAAAAGCAGTCACGCATGGTGTTGCCTCACCTAATGACCTGATAATGAGAAATGTGAAGAACAATTATGCAGGAACGAATATTCATTTTCATGATAAAATGAATAGTAATATCACCTCCACCATAAATCAAAATACTGTCAGTGCAATGGAAAACCGTTATTGAAATCACTTCTGGAACAAAGTGATTGAACCAATCGTTTAGATGGTTTGTGAAAATGTATGCCTAATGATTCTGTCATGTTATACATGAATTAGAGTATGATCAAATAATATACCTCATGTTGGGAAGGCTAGAGCACATTACATGTAATCAATGGATTCAAATTCAAAATACTGGAAAATTGTAGTTGAGGATTATAGAATTGTGTCTATGCACCTTGCACAAGAATTAATTGATCAAGAAAGAAAATATATGCATAGACATTTTAGAACAAGGTTCAATGAGTATTGATGACTTACATTGCACCTGTCATGAATGCCATCCAGACACTTACAACCTGACCTCCTTCATATCCTTTATCAATAATCAGTTTTGCCCCATACCATGCTGTTAGACCATGGGTGCAGAACAGAATAAGCATAACGAAACCAAAGCCCAGGCCAGTAGCCGTTCCTTCTTGGACAGCAGATACATATGCATTCCTAATATACTTATTGTATAATGCAATGGCCCGATTCTCACCATTGAAGGAAGCAACCTTTCAAAAATTAACCCAAGAAGAAGTTGGTTACGAATCTAAACCAATAGTAAGGATTAAAGAGAATATTTAAGCAAGGGTCTACTGTTCTGATGGCTCCAATTGTCTGTTCAACGACAATGCCTGCTTCATTGTACTTAGCTTGACCCTGGCTTGACAGTTTCGATACAGTCCATGAAATAGCTGCTCCAGCAACTACTATAGGAGGGACACTTGACATCATAACAGCAGCTAAAAGCCATCCTTTAGAGAAAGCAATCACCAACCCTCCAACAAATGTGGCAGTAAGTTGTATAAACTTCCCAACCTGGAATGGAAACGAATATTTGAGTTGACTATCCAGAATAGACATCAGATCACAACAATTTACAAACACATATTCGCATATAAGCAAAATTTGTACTCCTTAATTCGAAACACAGAAGATAAGTTTGAATCATTAGATACAAATATGCTGCTATGTGCTTTGTAGCTTTAGTAAAGTTAATATGAACCAGCATCACAATTCACAAGCTGACAATGATGTGTTTACAGTTTACATGGGTCAACCTTTTCACCAATTGCATCCTGGATAAGTATTGTATCTCCGGACATACTCTCAACCAATTGTCCAGTGGTCATTTCCTTGTCAAAAAATGCAATGTCTTGTCTCAATAGAGCTTCAAGATAGAGACCCCGTATGCGAGCTGCTTGTCTTTCTCCAGTGATGATCCAACACGCAACCTCTGATAAAACAATGAAAACAGTAACACCTTAGTGCTAATCTATAACTAGCAGTACCTTAAAACGTGAAAACAGTAACACCTTTAGATGCCCCTGGCAGTATCTATGCTGCAGAAAATGGATCTAAGTAGTTTATTACACCTGGTTAATGCTTCTCCTTTCTGAAAGAAGATAATGTTACTATGGGATTTCTTGGTTTCAGAGTTATGGACTTATGGCAATATGAATGACATACCATCATATGAATAGACTTACACATGATTAACATATAGTTAGATGATTTATCATCCTTACATTGATCAATGGCTAGAGGCTTATGTGTAATTAGTATGATCTTTTTTGTCTCATGATTAGACTCTGTAAAACTTTTGCTCAGTTTAATAAAAGACTAGTAGGGGGCTTCCCCTCCTGTTTCACTCAAAAAAAACATATAGTTAGATGATTGTGTCTTATTTATGGAGGGAAAATGTGGTTCCCATTCCTTGTGCTCATTTCATTCTTGGTATATATGGTCACATGGGCTAGGTGCAAAACCGTCCTTTATTCTTTTCCATTATGAAGGTTAATAAGATTCAGTGGGTGACTGAATAACTAATATTCATCACTATAAAGGCTGACTAAAGCATAAACAGACACAATAAACAACTAAGGAAATACTAGTACTCACGTAGGAAGCAAGCAAACCATGATCCAATGGCCAAATAGACACAATAAACCACTGAAGAAATACTAATACTCACGTAGGAAGCAAGCAAACCATGACCCAATGGCCAGATAGACGAACTTCAGGCACACCTGAAACAGCAGTGTTAAAGATTTTAGCTGAGGATGAAACCGATCTATTTTTATCGTAGGAAGATGTTATCCAGCAAATAATCAACAAATGGTACAATGGGTAGCAATCCTATTTCGTAGTACTATGGAGTGCCATGTGCTTACTAGTAACTAACACTACCCGTGTGATCAGATCGTCAGAATAGTTGAACAGCTAGTCGAAGTACATCAACAGATATTCCCCACACTTTGCCTTTAGCATTCTAGGAGTACTCGTCAATCCCTTCCAAACTCCAAACTAGGAATGGCAACACAAGAGCTGCAGTTAAATGGGGATGGAGATTCGAGGCGTACCCCGGAGACGCGGTGCAGGATATCGTGGCGGGAGCCGGAGCCGAAGGCGTTGACGACCTCGCCGAAGATGAGCGTCATGAGCAGCTGTGCCACGCCGCTGGCGACTGCACCCGCGGCACCCGCGGCCATGAGCACCACGTCCGCGCCGTCCGCGAACCGGAACAAGCCGGTGCAGCCCAACCAACCCCTTCTCTTCCTCCTCCAGGCCAACCAACCCCTTCTCTTCCTCCTCCAGGGCTCCTGGTGCTGGTGAGGCCATCCCTCTCCCTCCTCGACTCCGCGTGCTCGACGACGGGGGAGTTGCATTGCCGGGGCGGAGCAAGGCGCGCTTTGTAGCAGCGGGGGCCGGCCGCGGAAGGGCTGATTCCGAGGACTCGCCCACGCGGGAGGAAGTTGAGCGTGTAGCGAGCTGCAACTGCATTTTAAATCGCTAATCGGCTAGTCCTTCTCTATCTATATATCTATATAGTTATCTTTATCTTTATCTATATCTACATCTACATCTATATCTATATCTCTTACAACTAAAAAACAAAAGTAAGATAATTTTTTAGTGCGATTTTTTTTTTGTCACTCTTCCCTTCCGTCCGTGCGATACCGCGGCTCCAACCTCGCCACCCTGCGCGCGTTCAAAAGGAAACCTCACGCCGAACGAACCAAAAGAAAATCTCTACCTACAGTCTCCTGATTCCACACCTCCCTACTCCATCCACGTTATCTTAGCTACATTACAGAAAAGATCTATAAAGTAGAGTTTGTGAGCCTACGATGCCGCGCTCTCCGTGACTTGTGTTAATTTCACACACTTTATTTTTTGAATTAAATGTCACTTTAATATTGGTATTTATTTTTTACAATATTATTATTTTATCGTGCGATCCGTTTGTTTTAAGTATAAAATATTAGCTATCCCGTAGCAACGCGCGAACACGCTACCTAATGTATATCTATATACAAGAGATGTTTGATTTCCAGCCAGCCACACCATATTGTGGCGGTGTAGGTGAGACGTGAAAATCAGACGCCATAGTTGTGCCAAGATTCACTACTCTAGCAAGTTAAAAAAGTTGTGACAACCTAAACTTAATGTTCAATCAGACAATTGTTTTGATGAATGTGACAGCAACTCTATTGGGTTAGTTGTTCCGTCAAAAAAAAAACTCTATTGGGTTAGTTTAATTCGGTCCTAGACTTTGGTGGACAGCTATGAGCTTTTAGTGTGGAAATAAATAGAGTTAATGTTTCAAGTCGGACTTGAACTAATTTTTTTTTGTTTTTGGCAACAATATAATACCTCTATCATCGTCAGCCACACCCCAATACAGGGGCGCTTCACATCATCCTTATAAGGTCATCTCTGTAACAGAACCGTCCAATTTATAAGAGCACGTACAATATCAATCACCGAAACGATCAAACTATCATACTGCCCATATAAACCCGGTGGTCCAATGAAATCACGATAGATCTCAAACAAACTAACAGACAAACCAAGATTGTACATGATTCAACATAACCAGTCACATGTTACATCACAGTTCACAAATAGTTTACAAATATCTCATATACATCGGAGTTCACATAGTTATTACAAACCAAGTTTAAATAGCAGAAGCAAAGTAGTTTGACATCGACATCACACTTAGTTCAAATACATGCCAGTACCACGATCATTTTCAGCAAAAGCAGAATAGAGAGGATATCTTAGGAGCACCATGCCCCATGGTTTAGTCCTCATCCACAGCAGGATGAAGACAGTTCTTACAGTACCATGATACATCATGTCATCTGTAATAAGAGGGAATAAACCCTGAGTACGAGAATATACTCAGCTAGACTTATCCGTCATAAACCAGAAATAATATGACACCAAAGAGTATGCAAGGTTTTATCGGTGGAGTTAGCTTGACAATATTTTGCATAAAAGCTTAAATAACATAACTTGGAGATTTAGTACCTTTAGCATCAATTTGAATACCTATTTAATTAAGCATCTCTAGATTAGCACCTTTACTAAAGCAATCACTTGATTAAGCTAACAAGCAATAGTAACCATAATCGATGTAATAATTTGAGCATCATCATAACCATCAAGTTCCATCAATTAATGCTACGTTGCCGCTGCTCAGTCAAGTTCTCACTATCCGGGAGAGACGGCGACTCGAATCGATTTCAACCAGCTGAGGAGTTATTCCTAACACAAACCCATACTTCCCCTGTCGGGGTCGCGTCGGGTCACCTTTGGTATAATTCAGGTATAGTCGCGGGTCCGATCAGCGCCGCACCCTTAGAGATTCTACCAGTCTGCCAGGAAGTTTAGGCTCGGCCTGCATTTGGACTCACGCCATTAGCTCCCCGCACATCCTTACTGTCTCCAGTGTGCGCACTTTCACTTACCGGGTCCCAGCCTGAGTTGAGCTACTCGGCTTCACGGTCAGAACGACTTATCCGGCCAACTAGATGCTAGGCATGCGTTCAACATGACATGAGGACGTACAGTGAATCGGTCCTTAACCGACACAGACGGGAATAAATAGGCACCAAGACCTCCATGCCTTGTTGCTTCTCTATCACAATCCCACCTGGTCTCCTATTTATTCATCAACACATGGTTATTTCCATGATAACAATTATAGCCAACCGTGATCAGATATCTACCTATATCTTGTAGGTAACAGAAAATCATCCGACTTCTACCGGACTAAGCATGACTAAGCATATATTCGATCCTGGACCTACAAAGGATTCAAGATATACTTGTCTAGACAAGAAAAATATATGCAGCAAGTGTTTCCAATCAACTCATATAACCTAATACATCAAACATAAAGGACGCAAGTGATATTTGTAAAAACATAGGAGGCTTATAATGCTCCAGGGTTTGCCTTTCAAGAACGAGGAAGGTGCCTAAGGCTATCACTGATGTTGGAAAATGGATGGCATGCTTCTTTTTCCTTAAAAGTCTTTCGCACCGAATCTCAGGGCGAGATTCTCGTAAGGGGGGAGGGCTGTAACACCCCAGGTGTTTGTCACCAGTTAAGCAATGGGTTTGAGCTCAAACATGACATGTTAAGTGGTGATGAAGGTGTCAAGATTAAATCTACGAGAGTGAGATCCAACTTAAACTTGGACAACACACCCTTAATTACATGTGGACCCTTGTCAAGATTATGCAAGAGTAATGTTAAACATGCTTATTTCATGTACATTACATCAACATGCATCCATCTTGACCAGTGGAAAAGTTTCATGATGTTTGTAATCAAGAAGTCACATGAAATGATAAGTTATAATCTTTCTTAGATTGCTTTATTAAGTGAATGGAATTATAGATCGTCAACCAAACCTTTCTACCTTGCCCAAATGACTCTAAATGAACTCTACAACAAAAGTCATGAAGGGTTCGTGTTGAGCAAAGGTCAAGAAAATGCCTCAATCGGTCAAAAACTCTAATTTAAGCTTTACCGTGATGCTATTTTGACCCGTGTTGACCAATCGCTTATAGTGCTTGCATAGAGTTACACCTTAAATAAAAGTTGAAGTTTGAGTAGAGTAGAACAAACTTTGTTTTTGGACCAAGAGCCAGATCATCTTGGAACTAAGTCAAACAGAGGATTGAAGATTGAATCAACTGTTGTCTTAGGCTCTCAGAAAAATATTCTAAGTCCCCGATTGACAACAAGTTGACATGTTTGTAAATTTTTATCTTCCAAATTCATGTGGTAGCTAAATTGGATTTCTTAAGATGAGTTGAAGTAATTTTCATGATGAAAACAATAGATCAAGTCTCATCAAATTTGGAGTTCATTTGGATCTTCAAAAATAGTTTCCAAAACAGCAAAGGTTTACTTTATCACTTAACTAACATCGACATTGGCATTCCGCGTTCTCCAAATTTTGTTAAACAACTCGATTTGGTCCAAAGATAAAAGTTGGAGTATACATTGTGGATAATAGTGTGCAAAAGGATGGCACCAGTTTGACTTTATTTTGACCATCAATTTTGGAGTTTGTTAATCACCGTCAATACATTGACAATGCCGTCTTAGAGCTTAATTTCCCGTGGATGCATAACTCAAATGACCATGGCACCTTAAGAAATGTTGTAGTGTAGTCAGAGAGTAACGAACTTGCTTCAAGCACCTAGGGACGAATATGCTCTGAACATGCCAAAATCTGGACCTAAAGTCGGGCTCATTCGCGTACGCCACCTGTTCGGTAGAATGCCCGCGTGGCCACCATGCAGGCAGGGCGCCCCAACCATGGACGACACGCGTCCCACCTCCATGCCAAGCGCCCCTGCCTTCCCCTCGTGTCAATGCGGTGGTAGACGCTCCCTCCTCATTCACGCCGAGCTTCCCCATCCCTATCCTCGCTCTCCGGCGCCTGCACACGCGCGCAGAGCACGGTTGTGCCATGGCCGCTGTGAGCTCGAGCTTGGCCGCCATCGTTCTTCCACCTTTGAGCACCTCATAGCCTAGAATCCACTGCCACTGGCTCCGCCGCCCTCTCCTTGGCCTCGCGCGCCCCTCCCCGACCTTTCTTCGTCGCCGTAGCGCGCGGCCACCGATGCCGTGGCCATCGCGGACGCCTGTGCGCGCGGCCAGGCCCACCTGGCCCGCCTCCGACCAAACTGAGCGGCCCCACGCTTGTGCGTAGGCCCATGGGTGCTCCCTCGCAACTTCGCCGATGTCGATGACGACCATAGTCGCTAAAAATCGCAAGCCCAGCCACCCCCCGCGCTGCCGTCGAGAGGAAGGAGAAGGGGGACCACGCGTGAGAATAGGAAGTTTTCTAGGGGGTTAAGTGAAGGACATGTGACTCTTTTGAGTAGTGCCAAGAAGGACCTATTCGCTGGCGTTTAATTTGTGTTTTCTGCAGGGACCCCGAGGCAAAAGCGTTTTTCCGTTTCTTTTTCATTATATGCATATAATCAGCTGAACATTAAAAAATCATACCAAATTGTAGAAAAATCATAAAATAGCAAATGAGGACTTTTTGGAATCCTTGTGAAATTATCTATGTAATAGATCTATAATATGGCATGATTTAGTTTAAAGTTTTTGCTGTTAAATCAATTTATGCAGTTAGGTTTTTAATACTAGTTGTGTTTGTCTTTTTCATAACTACAATTTTTTTGCTCAAATAAATGTGAAATTGTTATGGAGTGCTACTCATGTGATGGTTGATGTCTGCTAAAAATTTCAGGATTTTAGGCTTGATGGGTTAAGAGCTATAAAAATAATAAATCCCCTATGTTGCTTTGCACCTGTTCTGAATAGGCCTGCATGTTTGTATTAATTGGC